TTTGTTTGAAGTTAAAACAATGCAGAACGAAGGAGTAGAAACTCAGAAGATCGTATGGAAATGCTGAGAGGAAGGAGTGCAATGTATAGCCAAATCTGTTGAGCGATTTCAGTTTGTGTCTTATGTGTTGTGTGTCTTTCTTCAACAGCTGCTGCACATATATATAGCAGCCAGTGTTGAAGAAGAACAATCGTCCACCCTCCATGGTGGAGCAAGTGGGAAGAGCATTAGGCGGCTGCCTTGTGGTCAATACACGGATTGAAAAATATCCGTTACAAATGCGGATAATCTTACGTTAATATTTACCATTAACAAATAAGTTTGGTCCAAAAAATTAATCAATCGATCATTTGACCAGATCCGAAGCCAAAGCCGAGCCGAGCGAGCGACGACGACGACGGCGCGAGGCTTGCTTTCTTCTTAACTATTTAAAAGCTACAAGAAGAGCAATTATATATATACCCACCAAAAATCTCTTCCTCTTCCAATATGGGACAATGTCTCATTGTCAAGAGGGGAAAACTTAAAATTTTACTCAAAAATTTTAATTTTTCTCCATTTCCCATTCACCCTCATTTTAAGACTATTTCATCTTAAAAATAAAAAAAATAAAAAACATCAACAAAGGAGCTAGTAGTAGATGTTGTTCGCAGGTTTTCTCCAGAAACCTAGTACTATGTCCCATGCCCAACCTTGGAGAAATAATACAAGTAGCAGAGAGGGACGTGGGAATGCCTTTGGACCGTCCTCTATTCTTGGCCGTCAAATCTCCAAAAGCAAAACGACCCTTGTGCTTCCCACGAGCTTTATAGGACGTATCGTTATAACATTGGCTGCTCGTTCACTAAAAATGATTAAAAGAAAACAGTTAATTACTCGCGTTATCCACTAAAAAATTGGTTGAATAATGAACTTTTTAAAAACGGATCAAATATGGATAAAAATCATATTATCCATTTAGAAAATGTATAACTAATGGATAACTAATGAGTCTAACTTTTATATTTGTAAAGTCTCAAATTGGGGGTTCCACAAGTTAGGGAGACTAAGAATTCTCCCAAAAGTGATATATGCAAGAAGTCATGGATAATATGGTTCTATATTATCCGCCGCTTAACCAGTTTTTTATCCGTATTAAATATGGGTCAGGTCGAATAATTTATCCGTTTTTTCATTACTCGTTTTCGACCCGAACCATATCCGATCTGACCCGCCCGTTTTACACTCCTAGTCCCCACCAACATCATTCAACGGCTTTCATTCTTTTCGTCAGTACTCCCTTTTTCCTCTATAAAATCGTCGACTTAATAAAGCCACCAAAGATATACTATATCTCTCTCGTTCGAAGGGGGAGCTCATCATCGGTCTCGTTCTATCTCTAACAGATGTTATTAACAAGCTCATCGTGTCCTATACTTAATTCATGGATTCCCAACTTCTTTGGACCATCGCCCGAATCCATACTGACTAGGACACGATCATTGTCATTAATAACGTCCTTTGTTCTGGATCATGAAACCACGACAAAGCATGCAACCAGCTGTTGCATGCGAGAAACAGATAAACCCCGAGATCCTGTCGTTCAGAAGAAAAACAACAACGCTATAAAGATTGGGATCAAGGTGTCGGAAACACTGCTGGACGTGGGTGGTGCAGGGGAAGGCGGAGGCGGTGGGCGGGATGGTGGAGATGGGCCAGGTTCAGGTTCAGGTTCGGATTCTGATGACTCAAACAGTTGGGATGGGCATGAGAGTACAGAAGCCTACTATAAGAAAATAATAGAAACTAACCCGGGGAATGCACTTTTACTAGCAAACTATGCCAGTTTCTTAAAAGAGGTATCGTAATCAATAATTCGATTCAGTACTAGTATTGATAACTTTAATTTGAATACGCTATTTGTTTCTGAGAATTAATTTGGGGATTGTGTGTTGAAACAACAGGTTACGGGGGATCTAGCAAAAGCAGAGGAGTATTACGAAAGAGCAATATTGGCAAACCCGAGCGATGGAAATGTGTTGTCTGATCTAATTTGGCGAACACAAAAAGATGCATCTCGTGCCCATGCTTATTTTGATCAAGCTGTTAAATCTGACCCAGATGACTGGTAATTGATCTTTTTTCACCTTTTTTCTTAAATCAATCTAAAATAAGAAGTGATTGAAATTCAAGCTGTATTGAGATTGACATGCATGCTTCACTTATCTTTTATACATGGATATTTCAGTTATGTACTGGCTTCATACGCTCGGTTCCTGTGGGATGTCGAGGAGGCAGAGGAGGAAGAAGTAAAAGAGCGAAGTATACAATGTGGAATAGAGTGCGCAAATTCAGCAGCCACAAACTATTTAGGAGGAGCGCCGTCTCATCATCGGCCACCCTTGGCTGCAGCTTCTTAAAATTCATGCAAAATATATGCTTCATCTTCCTCAAAGACCAGTTATCTTCAAAGGAACAGTTCAGTGTTGGAAAGGTCACAACTTATATCGTAATGCACAAATTTTAACGGACGATCTTATGTTCAGGAGGTCACAATTCAAAGTCAAAATGCACGGATTCGGTTTAGTGACTTGTTGGTCACAGTTACTCGATTGGGACTTTCCTAATTGGAAAAAAACCTTGGGAGACTACACTTATTAACTACTCCTGTACTATAAAATAAAATTTCACGAATGGCCAACCTGGTCCAACCTATGTACAAATAGGTCAGATAAAACTATTATACAAAGTAGCTAGTCTAATAACATGGAGGGCTCCTTCCCTTCCCTTTTAGTCTCAAGGTTAGTACTTCTACTGTTTGTTTTACTGATAATCTTGGTAAATATTAAAGTAGTCATGTTCTGATTTCTTTGCTACTAGTAATATATATTGATAAATATTACACTAAACTAGTGAATATGGAGTAATAGGTTATCTAGACTAGCCAGTGGCCGATGGAGCATATATAATTAGCCCCAATATGTCAACTAGTACATTAATAATTTGGTCTTATTAGACAGGTTACTCGATAATAGGTTTAAATTTGACACCACTACGTTTGCATTGTTACACTTTTTGGAAGTTGGAAGTTAATAATCTAGCTTACCAATACTACTCTTTTGGGTTTTACATCCATTGTTAATGGGCTTTAACTAATATGGTCTTTTGGGCTTTCTATGTATCCTCCTTTCTTGGGCTCTGGGAAGTGGTTACTCATCCTTAAGCAAACTGGCCTAATACTGGGCTTTGACATTTTACTGGGCAAGTATGCCAGGCTAATCTCCAATACATCCATTCAAAAGTGTAGTCCTAGTCCAGTTTGTCTTTCATTTTTATTTTTATTTTTATGGAAACAAGTAACTAATATCTTTGTTGAGTTTGAATCATACACCATCCAGAGGCGAATGTAAAGTGATAGTACGGGGTGTAATGAAGCAAATAATGTCTTAAATATATATATGCTTGACTAAAAAAATAGAAAGAATTACAAGAAAATATATGTGACTTCACACCATAACAAAAAATGGCTTATATTTTTAAATTTTATCCGACCTAACTCATATTATACATATTTTGAAAGCACTAGCAAAAGCATCAGCGGACAACTCCTATTTCAAAATCTATTTCTTACAACCACTGGTTCTAAAAGTTATGGAGTTAAATGTAGCTAGTCAAGTTACTAATTTCGTTTGATGTTACAACAAGAAAAACTTACTGCAACAACTAAGAATTTTTTTATTCTATAGGCTCGTGGCTTTTGAGACTCTTCACGATTTAGTTTTTAAATTTCTCTTTTTTAATCTTTGAGTTAAATTTTAGATTTGGGTTTTTAGAGTTTGCTAGTTGTTTGGATTGGGTGTTGCTCCAATTGATTGAAAATATCAAGAGGAGTTCAAAACTTAAATGTGAAGTGATTTACAGTACATTTGAGCTATATATGAGTTAAATTTCAGAAGAGGTTCAAGAAAGAAGACGAAGTCAATTTTTGTATAATAGTGTATATGGGTGTATAAACACCACTTTTACACTATTATACAATTTTATACACTTTTATACAGGCATCTATAGACGAACTTCTTTCACAATTTTCAGTTGCAATTCTAGTTCAAAACTAGTTCAAATCTCCATTAAATGACTTCAAATATATATATATATATATATATATATATATATATATATATACACACACACACACACACAACCTCCTTATACTATTTCTAACAAGTCTAACTAATACCTAACTCTAAAATTCTCACAAAACCAGATTCAAAATTTAAACTCATTTATTTAAGCTTGTTCAACAATGGTGGAACGAGCGCAAAACACACACTTAATTTGTGCTCGCTAGTCAAGAATAGTATAGATTAATTATCGTCTCCACAAAAATTAAAATTAAACAGTGTTTGAATAATCTCCAGTTGATTACTATCCATAAAAATTAGCACTTGATTGGATAACTATTACACGATTAACTATTGAAGTTCAAGCAAATAACAATTTATCACTAAAATGAGCAAGTGAGCACGAAGAAATATTTATGAGGAAAATAAGGGTAATTGACTAGATAGGTGCACGATAACTGACTCGGGATCCAATTCTTGAGTTAGTTCACTCTATAATACGATCGATTCTTACGAATTCAACTGATTATCAGATTACACTTAAAGCTACTACTACTCCTTCAATTAAACACTAGTTCAGTAATTAACCCAATTGAAGCATGGTAAACAATTGCGAGAATAAAAATGATGTTTATGATCAAAGCTTCATAATAGCTCAATTAGCACCACAAACTCATCGTAAATTGGAGTCGCTCCTACAAATCATAAAACACACACTCAGTATAAAATAATACCATTTAAAGCTCAAACACTAGTAAAGTACAGCGAATTAGAGTGTAATTAATGGCCAAAATATGCAATTAGAGCCTACCATCAACACCCCACACTTAAATTATTGCTCGTCTTCGAGCAATCAAACTACACTTTATAAAGACATGACCTTTTTAAACAGCTCTTATAACTCATCATATCAAGAATATTTAAAATAGGCTAATCACAATAGTGTAACATCTTCACCTCAAGATTTGACTTACAAGTACCACTCGTTATTAATAACCTGCTTACTTACTCTAACATAGAGGTCAATGACATCACCTTTCCTTCTTGAATCAAGTGCCCCTCACACAACAATAGAGAGTAGTTCCCACACACAATAAAAATTAAGAACAATTAGGAACTCAAGATAAAAAGAATTCACTCACTCTCAGAAACAACATTCATATGACACACAAGATGAACCATAGGCTTGCCCGTAGTGTATTACTCTACTAATTCAAGCTCACTCAGTCAAGGATCAAGTAGGACTTTTAACTGGTTGTAGTGTATGCTGCGGGACGGGTAAGATATATTTAGATATAAGAGTGACTACACCTCCCTAAGCACTTTAGTACATACACTTTAACCGTTCAAAACCCCACACTTATATCAAACCAAAACTCCACATTCACATCAATATGCATTAACTCCCTATCTTTTTTTCACTTTTACATCAAGAGTCACCACTCTCAAGGAATATTTTCAATAATATACTATTATGTTTTTATTTATTGAATATTCAAGTGACTACTTACTTTTTCAATACATTGCACCTCTCTCCTTATTTCATTTATTCCACTCAGAAGCCAAACCAACCACCCCCACTTCAACTTTTACAGTGTTCACAACAATTTCAAGTGCTCATGGGAGGTCAATGGTTCAAATAGATGGTTAATTCAAATAAATGGTTAAGGATTGTAACATGGTTGCCAAAGAAACAGGATAAAAGGCTCAAAAGGGGTTAACTAGGATACATAACAATTAGGTGGATAAGACATATACTGGTTCAACAAAGAAATTCCTATATCACTTCTAAGACTGAATTAACTACTATTACGCTTTGCAAACACACAGGGCAAGTTCTGCACATCCAATGCAATGCAATGAATAACACAAAAAACCTCACACACACATGGCACATAACTCACTTAGGATTGGACTCATCAAGACATTCTAGTCAAAGCAGTTAAGCAAAGTTAGGATCATAAAATTTTAGGGTACTTATGCAAGATTCAAAACTGAGCCTAAGCGTCACAACTAGAGCACTCACTATTATCAAGGCATGAAAGAGTAAATAGACCTTGCCCTTTCATTCAAATCAGAGCTCAAGGTACATACTCCTAACAAGAGAAAAAAAACTAACTACACCCGATTCAATTAAAACCCTTGAAAAAGAACCGCGACACAAAGAAAAATTAAGGGGGAAATTAATACACTACCTTAACAAAAAAAAATTGTTTTTTTTGTTTAACTATTGCAACTAACCAAAACAACTAAAACTATCAAAAACAAAATACATATACATACAACATACACATATTCATTCCCCAGCCCACACTTTAAATAGTGGCATGTCCCCATGACACACAAAGAGAAATGCGAAGGTGAAGAAAACTCCCCTGATCAAGTCTTGTGTCGGAGACGGTACCGGGGTCCAGATGACAAGCCCGGCCAAGTGCACGCAGCCAAGCCATAATCTTCTTCTTGGATTTGGCATTCTGTGTAAAGAGGGCGTCCACTCTAGCTCCCAAGTCAGTGACTGAGGTACACATCCCCGCCATCTCCTACTCTAGAGCTCCCATTTTTGTGCTTCATCCGCCACTTGAGGTTTCCTCAACACCCTGCTTATGCGGCGGAGAAGCAGTGGCATCTTCCTCGTGACCCTCATTACCCTCGTCGGGTGCATTAGATTCGTCACTAACCGCCTCTGCAGGCCCTGTAGGGTCTTTTCCTATTACAACCTTATCAACCCGAAATTTATGTTCGCGCTTTAATTTTCCATTCATGGCCATATTTTTCGGTACTTGTGCCTCACGGCATAACCGGGTGACTAATGATGGAAAAAAGAACCCATACCTCTGCACATGACAGCGAATCAACATCTCGGACTGAAGGATCCGAGCTACATCAAAATTATGGCCATTGACAAAGCACCAAATCAAAGCCGCCCGAGGACCATTCACCTCAGTGGTGTTTCCTGAAGGCAGCAGGCGGCTATTGATGATGAAGAGCCAGCACTTCCCTTCAAAAGTCAGCGAAGCCAAGTGAAATTTTTGCCCCGCCTTGATCCACACTACCTCCTTGCCAGACACATAAATGGTGGCGAAGTACATGTACCACAGGTATGGTTATCTGTTATGCGTATCATAGTAGTCAACTGTATCCGGATCTTCTACGAATCCCGGCACACAATAGGCCCTTCGGATGGCCTCTTTGGAGAAGTCGACTCTCTTATTCCTGACCGTACAGACATGGGCGTCATGTTCTGGGAAGTTTGCATAAAACTCTCAGACAACCATTAAGTTCGCTTCGTCCGATTCTTCAAAGAATATCCTCAAACCGCGTCTGACCAATTCATGATACACACGGGGGCAGTCATTCTGGAGGGACCCCAATATCAATTCCCCTCTCCTATATTCTGTTAGGTCCGTGATTGTTATTTTAGACCTAGGCGTATGTCCGAATTTGAATTCGGAGGTTCCTAGGTTGATTTGGCTTTAATTGGCAAAAGTTGGAAGTTTGAAGGTTTAGAAGTTCATAGGTTTGACCCATAGTAGACTTTGTGGTTATCGATGTCCGTTTGGGATTCTGACCCTTGGAATAGGTTTATATAGTGATTTATGACTTGTTTGTAAAATTTGGGTCATTCTGAGTTGTTTAGGCATGTTCGGCGTAAGTTTGGAATTTAGAAATTTGGATTAGTTCATTAAGTTTGAATTGAGGATATGATTTGAGGCTTCGAGTATGACCGTATTATGATTTGGGATTGGTT